GTAGCTGCTTCAGTATAACACGATTTAGGTAGGCAAAGGTTACAATGCGCTTCACATAAATGTGCAGTAACCGTTCGTAGTTTTCTGGTTCTTTGAGCTAATTCCTATGTAGGAGCAGATGTTTTACTTTGCCTTCCGGTTCTCCTTGCGGCTTCACTGGTTCCTTGTCTGTGACATCACACGACAAGTACGATTCGCTTGCTTCCGTACAAGGACGACTTCATTCCTGTCGTCAATGCACCTATGTGACCAAGTTCAAATCACACATGCAAAGACACTTTTGCAAGCACACTGGCGAGCATCCCTTTCAGTGCCACCTGTGTCCGACTGCATTCACTGAGAACCGCTCTTTTGCAAACTACATTCGCACCAACACAGGAGAGCGCCCTTTTTTCCGTGTTCACTGTAACGCGTTCCTTTCTCGTAAAAAGCACAAGGAACACATGTCCCATTGTCGCCTGAAGAAAAAATTTCTATAGGGCAGGAGCATTGAATTACTGAGGCAAAACACAGTGAATTATAAAATTTTACAGTTATAAGCGGCCTTCAATATATATAAAATGGTTAAGTGCGTATCGCTTAAAAAATTATGTAATTGCTAATCATAACTACGTTAAGGGTGATCCCACGATCATGCTCTGATGACTGATTATGGGTGAGTAATGTTTTGGTGAGTTTGAGTCTAAATGAGTCCGGCTGAAAGAAGTTTTCGTGAGCGTGAGACAGGAGTGAGCCAGAAGCGCAAGATATAATTCTTGAGTGAGTCTGAGTGAATTCCACTTTCTTTTGCCGACCTAAAGTCTAATCTAGTCATTTTCAGCATTACTGTCAGTCTTACTTGGAATCAAGTTTATACTCACAAGCATTCAAAACAGCGTCATTTATACAGCATTGCAATATTTACTAATTAGGAGCATGAATTACGTAGGAAAGTGCTTTGATCTCCCCCCAGCTCTTGCAGGAAATTTTTTGATTATTATGTCTTATACTGTCATCTCTTCCAAGAAAAATGAGCTTACTGCTTTGAAAGCACTCGAAACTTGTTTTTAAAGATACTATATCAAATGGCCCCAAGAAGAGCACCGATTGTGTGAAATATTGGTAAGCAGCATTAATTCCACGATCGAAGAAGCTAATATTAGGCTCTAGGACTCGTGAGCGGACCCTTTCTGACTCACTCGGATTCAGATGGGGCCGTGAGTCGAAGTTTGAGAGAGTTTGGGTGAGTAATGTTTGATTGAGTTTGAGTTCGAGTGAGTCTGGCTGAAGAACATTTTTGGGAGTGTGGTTGAGTCCGGCTCGGGAAAATTTTCGTGAGTCTCAGTCGGAGTCAGTCCAAGTGAGTCCAAAGCTAAATATATATTTCATGAGTGAGCCTTGGTGAGCTCTACAAGTTTTCTGACCTATGGGCACAACGCTCACTCAGTTCTAGATGGCTCAGGAAAGCATGATAGTTGCTGTTTCAGTTTTGCTGGTGAAGTCAGTTTAATTTTATTCTTTATTAATGATTAAAGATTTTTTTATTGCCACCAGCTGCTCATGCAATCTCTGAAAGGGCCAGCAGGCATTTCAGAAAAGGAGCGATTTTCCCAATTATTCGATCCCGTGTCTCCATAAATAAAAAATTTATTTATCACAACTGAAATAATTACTGTGTAATTGACGCATCTACTCACCTTAAATGCCTTCTGCCTTACTGCCCTGGATATTCGAAGTTCCTGTAAAACTCAAACAATACCATGCTGATGGTAGGAGGAAGGGAATGTTTCCTAATACTTCAGAGTAATGGCAGAGATAATTGCTTTGTCGTTGCTTCGATAGACTGAATTGAATATATGGTTGAGCAACCATATTTAATTAGGCTAATTTTTATTTTGTTGAGCATTGTAATAACACTGTTTTTCTACTGCATTGTATACATCCATGCTGCATTTTCTGCCCTTATTTGTTGTGATCCTGTGAGCCACCTACGTACTTCTTGTCCACAATATCAATCACTGCCCATGATCTCCGTACTAACCATTTCACGAAAGCTGAATTGATTTTACGCGCCAACTTAAGAAATACCTTATGTTATGTGTTTGCTTTGGGAGGAGCTAAGCCTGCTAAGAGTGTGTCTCTCAAGTTAAAAAAAAATACATTTTCGGCATAAGCAACCTGAGTCACCTCGACAGAGCAGTGCGAAAACAGAGCGAGAAGGATAGTCCGGATCGGGTTGCAGTCGTGGTGTTGCATGTGCTCCACGAATCTGCTGCTATGTTGACAATACTCGCATTTCCCTTGTAACGTCACCTGAGGCCTTCGTCTCTAGTGACGTTGTCGAAAGGTGCTGCCGACTCAGATTTAGGTTTGCTTTAAAACCAAATTAAGAAAATATAAAGGCAACGCTTCAAACTAATAATCAGTTGGAATCAAAGAAACACTATCAATTGAGGTATCAGTTTTGGTGTCAGGGCTCCTTGAAAAGTACATTCTTAACGGCATATTTTATTTCATTATGATCGCTGTGTTATTTTTATGTACTTGATGCAAGTTTGGTGCGCAAGATTTTACACTCTTTTACAGCTACGTTACAACTGGGCATAGTCATCAACTACACTGATGCATATACACCTTAAGTTGCCTTGATGCTTTATGCCCATTGCAGCCTTTGCATCGATAAACCTTACTGATAATGAAAGCCAGTGAAATTAAATAGGTTGTCTTTGCATTATCTTTTTCAAAACCTTTTAATTTCAGCATGCAAAGTCATCTGCCCTGTCTCTTATCGAATCCTCTGCTGCCCTGCCAAAGCTGTTTATGACTTTAAATTTTCAATATTGGTGCTGATAAATATTTTTAACTGTCTCAAAGCCAAAGTAACAACATTAAAAGTTTGTTTTGTGTATGCCTGACAGCGAGGGACAGTGTTGTACAAAATCGTAGCGCATCGAATTGTATTTTCTCATTGTCTGAAGTCCTGCATGTCTGTTCTCGTCTAAGCACTGCACTTTATTGTTGCTAAGGCTCAAGGGCGACACCATCTAAACGTTTTGCTAAATGTAAATGAAACTGTCTACATGTTCGATTTGCTGGCATCTGGCACACATTAGCAGCCATCCTGTCTGTGTTTTCTTCATTTGTGTGGTTTTGGGACATTAAACACCATATATCAATCAATCAATCATTTGTTTATCTGCTCGTGATTTCGGTACAAATTTAACTATTCAATAAAATGGGTCCAGTAATGCACTCATCTTTACTTAGCCGCAACAGCTACATCTATAATAGTTTCTGCACGTGTATTATGCTAAAATGAGAAAACAAATACTCGCATCTTCGTTTGATTCACAGGGCATACATATCCTATATGCTGCTGCACTGCATCGCCGGAGATATTCGGTTCTACATTTCCCTCTGAATGCAATTTCTCAAGCATGTGTTGCCTTATGTCTAGACATATCCTTTGCCTAAAGATTAATACTGACATCAAATTAGTTACTAAAAACATTTTTTAGCATTTACAGTACTGAAAAATTGGATTATGGAATTTCTAGCAATGAAGCTTAGTTGATGGCAAGGGTATAAGCAGGTTTGAGTGTACTGTTTTGTGTGTGTTGGATTTAACAGTGGTCTGTTTGCTGTCGAAGATGCAGCCAGTCCTTCCAGGGAGCAACCAAAAAGTGGCATGCTTTGAATATTGCTGCAAATGCGTTTCGCCAGTTTCTCATAATAAAATGATTCATCATTTTAAGTTTATGTTGCATTCTAATGTGCAAAAAACTTAGTACAGTGATAGTGATGTAACCATGTCTGTGGACTCCTGTTCAGCATTGAATTATAGTGATAAGTGAAGTCCACTTTTTTTTGTTCTGTTAGTCAGTTGAAATTGGGAAGAAAGTAATATATTTTATTGATAAGTATATTTCTCAGTCATCAGTGCGAAAAAATTGTGCCTATTGTACAAAGCACTGCTTCAAGCTAAGCTACACTCAAGCCTCATTATAACTAAGTTGCACCGTACAGCAAATAGGTGCGTTATATCCAAAAACTTGTGATAAAGGTACAATTCTAACAGTATTGCAAGACTATTACTTTGTTATAATGAATATTTTATTACATCTTGGTTCGTTATATAGAGGTTTGAGTGTAGGTATTTATCATGCACATCTTTATGTATTTGCATGTGGTGTGAGAAACTGTTGCATATAGTGAAAAGTAGCTGATAATGAAGCCAAAGAAGAAAGGGGATGTTAATTGTACAGTTTTAAGCAATTGTTGTATAGATGTGAGAAAGTAAAGCACACTAAAAGACAACCTGCTCTGGCAGGGACAGCCTGCAACTTTTATTCTTAAGGTTGCAGGTTCTGTACTGGCAGGCCACTAGATCTCTGTTGGCTCACTTCGCTTCCTTCACCACGTATACGACAGAATATTTAGAATACAATTTAAAAGTTGCTGTAAACGTCTTGTGTACATTTCTTGGCTTCATTATCTTCTCCTTTTCGTGTCTTCTGTGAAAGAAATGAGTGCTCAATGTTGACTTCCTTCATCCAGTGTTGCATCTGAGTAACCGCAACACTTGGTAGGGGCACTTTGATTTCGCACCGATTTATGCTAGTAATTTTTAAAAGAAGTGTGCAAAGACAAGCTTGCATTACCTCATTTTGCATTTCACTCCCTAAAACCTTGGTGCAGATGTCTGTGTTCTTTGAAATGAAGAAGATAGTTGAATAGTACGGACAAACTTCATTTATTATTTTCCCTCTATCGCTTACCGAACAACAACAATCATCTAGGTTCAATCATCATTTGCCGTTTAGGTATAGTATCAGAATTTTAATCAAATCAGACCCTTATGCATTCATGGGAGGCTTCTTACATGTATTTTATTGATTGACTCTTGTACTGAAATGAGAATTTTGTAAAACCTGCATGTCAGTACACAGCTACTGCTGCTGCAAAATTATGTGGTTTGAATAAGCAAAGGTAATCGTGTACTTCAATTTACAAGTGCAGCAGGTTTTCTTCATTGCCTTTACAGACAATGTGTTTAACACAGTTTTCATTGGCCTTCTGTTCTCTCTGTGGCTTTGCAGGTTCCTCGTCTTCACCATCCCATCAGCAGGACCATTCACTTGTATCCGAACAAGGTGAACTGCTTTCCTGTCCCCAGTGCACCTACAGGACCAATCGCAAAAGGGATATGCAAATGCACCTTTCAAGACACAGGGGCGAGCATCCCTTCCAGTGCCACTTCTGTCCAGCTACATTCTCTCGCTACACTGATCTCAAAGAACACATTCCCACCCACGCGGGAAAGCGCCCTTTTGCTTGTCACAAGTGCAGTGCGTCGTTCTCGCAGAAAACGCACCTCACTCAGCACATGCGCTGCCACACAGTAAAGCGTTCCTTTTTATGTGACGGCTGCAACGCATCGTTCTCGGCAAAACAGACTCTCATGCAACACTTGCGCACCCATACAGTAAAGCGTACCTTTTCCTGTGACCTTTGCAATGCACAATTTTATGCAAAACGGTCACTCAACTTCCACATGTCCTGGCATCATGGAAAAAAGAAACCATAAAAAGTGAGCCGTTTAGTGGCCTTCTTTAAGAGGGGGGAGGTGCATCAGAGTGGAGAAAGTGTGCTCATTAGGGGTAACAGTGAAAGAGTAGATTGAGGTTTGTAGTGCAACCTAGTGTAGAACTTCACGAGGGAGAACGGCGTGAATTCGCAGTAGAGAAGGAGAGTCTTAGAATAGGGTGCGATGAGGTCAGCTTCTGATGGTGTGAGTATTGACACAATCATGCACCACTTTGGGTAATACTCGCTTCATCAGAAAACTCACAGGCACTATGAGTGGAAGTGGGTGAAAAAGAAGTACATAAAAACTCACAGCCAGTGGCTTTGAAATCACAATTTTCTGATTACATGTTCGATGTTCTTTATATTGAGCTTTAGCGGCTGTGTTTTTGTTTTTGCCCACATCAATCTGTTTTTCTTTATGTTATAATGCTGCATATCTTTTAAAATGCCAATAATGATTTATGTGGCATTTTATAGTACATGAGCGTGCTCCCACATTTGTCTTGTGCACCTTTCAAATGCGTCGTAGCTTGAATGTGTGCACGAAAAGGTATAATCAAGTATTTCTTCAATATTTAGAACATGTCCACCGTGGTTGTGTAGCAAGTTACGGTGCTTGGGTGTTGACCTGAAAGTTGCAGGTTTGATACCGGCTGCGGTGATTGCATTTCAATGGTGGCGAAATGCTGGAGGCTCATGTACTGTGTGATATCAGTGCACGTTAAAGAGCACCAAATGTTAGAAAGTTTGGAGCTTTTTGTGAATTTTGCATCTTTGCTCGGTGCTGTGGAAACAAAAAAAGTTAAACGCAGTGGAATATTTTGTTTATTCTATCCATCTCTCGTCTCAGTTTGTGAATTTTGTATCTTCGCTCGGTAATGTGGAGCCAAGAAAAGTTAATTACAGTGGATTATTTTGTTTATCATCTTCTATCCATGTCTCGTCTCAGTTTGTGAATTTTGTATCCTCCCTCGGTGCTGTGGAGCCAAGAAAAGTTAAACACAGTGTATTATTTTGTTTATAATCTTCTATATATGTTTGTTTATGATCTTCTGTAGATAAGTTTCTAGCTCTTGATTTACTGTGATCCTACGTACCAACTTTCTTTTTACTTGTGTGTTATATCACTGCTCATGACTTTCTCACTAGCATGATGTGAAGACAATCTAAGATTGATTTTACTCACTGACATTGCATATCACCTCTGTCATGATGTTAAAATAATTGCTGTTTTTTCACCTACACCAATGGTATTGGTAGTCATAGTATATAATTGGTGCACATTCATTCACTAACATTTGCATTCTTTTCGTCATTATACTTTTACTGCATTTATTTTACAGACATCTGTTGCGAAGGATTTGAGGGCCTTTTACAGTAACAGTACTGTTACCATAGTCATTGATCATGCTAATGCACACACATTTTAATTTGTCCTTGGTTCTTTATGGCCATTGTAGCCTTTGTGCTATTTAACCCTGCTATTATGAAAACTAGGGAAATGTAATGCATTGTCTTTACTTTTGAGCATGCACAGCGATCTGAACAGTCTCGGTGAATGTTTCTTTCTTCAGAAGATTTTGTGCTAATAATTCCCAGACATGCAACAGCTGTGCCAGTTTAATACAAATCATCATTTTCGCACCGGTCTAGTTTCGCCAAAGCCATGAAATTCGCAGAAATTGTGCCACACTGCGTCACAATGCCCTACCAGCTTCAAAATTTTCTCAGTTGCACAAATTTCAGTGAGAATTAGACGCCACGTTGATCTCCTGTCGTTTGCGCGCAGACCCTAACCCTAAGCGATGCTGTCAGGTATATTCCCATCAGGTCAGGGCACTCGCGAGGCGTGATGGACCAGCTAAAGTAACCAAGCCGCGCGCCCATCAGTCTGCTGACAGCAGCCAATACTCATCGGTGGGACTACTCAACTTCTAGACAAAAATGCGTTGTCGTAGCCACCAACGCTTCATGGGAAATATGAACTTCCTAGTCATCAAACATGGCTATGTCATTTCTAGTCATCAAACGTGATTATGTAATTCCTAGTCATCAAATGTAGTTAGCAGATAGAGCTGCGAGTGCGTATCGCGTTTTTCGTGCACAGAGTCGACGTACGTGCAGTGGACACAGGTGTTGCCGGCAAACACGTTGGCAACCCTAGCAAAGGCACATAAAATGTTTTTTTGTCTTTAAGTTGTGTTAGTTGCGTCGTCCTGGCGATAAATATCCGGTGCTGTCGCTGGAACAACGGGCACTTGTCGTTGTTACTTTATCTGGTAAAACGCGTCTTCTCCAAGCCTAACCCCATCATGAAAAAAAAAAAAAAAGAAGGGGGCCTTGCGGTGTTAAAAAATTTCTTGGCCTTGCCCTAGCCGGTGCAGAAGGCTGCTCAAACCACCCTCGCCGCAGTACACCAGGGCCCTGAGGAAAAGCGTATCAGTACTTCACATAACACATCAACAGCGAGCATAAGCATTAAAAATTGTGGCAGATTCCACACATTTTGAGAATAGATATCATGATCACTCACTGAGTGTAACAGTTGTGATATATATCAGATGTGGTACCATTGGCTATTTGCACTGACGTCAAATAATAACTAGTGGTATTGATGAAAAAATTATTGTCAACATATATACAGTTGAATCTTGACAATTTGAACTCAAAGGGGCCTGAAAGTTTGTTCAAAATTTAAGAAGTTCAAATTAATTAAAGCTAAATGAACAGAGCGCTCACCATGCAGTGGAGCATGTGCATCAATTGAGCTAACACACGAGGGGAAGTTTCAGAAGACTTACATTTATTCACAAATCACAGGACATCCGTCATTAATTGAAGTGATCTGTGATGCGTGTCTGCACACGTTTGCTTTGCAGCAAGTCAATCAACTTCGCACGCAATTTGCAAAGTAATTCTACTTCGGCTTCAGCCAGTTTGCAAAGTAATTCTACTTCGGCTTCAGCATTCTTCTGGCAAGAGTAATTTTCGCGTAGCAATGTCCAGCGTCAACACTCGCTAAAGACAACGGAAACGACTGCGTCTCCGCTGCTACCCTCTGGGCCGCGGCCGGAGCGTGACCAGCACATGACAAGAAAGGAGGACCCACTGGTGAGACCTGAGGGTCATGGCATCTAACACCGGAAAGTTTTTTTCTGATTATTTATAACCTCTCACAATAAGAGTCGTACTTCTGCGTACATGTTTGATGAAGTCAGTGCAACAGCAAACAGATGCATGCTCGTAGTGCCTAAGCCACGTATGAGAAGCACAGGCCGTGACACATTGGTGACCCATGCCGCTGTGAACGTGTTTGAGTTCGTTTTAATTCTTTTAGCTCAAAGTTTTTATTATCATTCTCTCATTAAGCATAATGGTTCAGTAGCATGAATAAAACAAATTTATTTTAGTTCTAATTAACATGGAATCGATGACAAGTAGAAAGAAAGAGAGAAATAAATAAAAAAAGAGACATGTAGGTTAACCCAGACGAACTGGTTTGCTACTCTGTACAGGGGTGGGGAAAAGGGTCTGAAAGAGGATAGATATAGAGAGATATAAAATAAATTAGAAAAAAAAAACCACATGAGCACACATTCAGCGAGTTCCGATCGCAGTCGTTTGGAGAGTCCGGTTGAACGCAAGAAGCGCAGGAGCGTCTTCTTAGCCTTCTTCTGCGACATAAAGTCCTGTCGGCAGCGCAGGATTCTTTCTTTCGAAATAGGCTGGTTGTCCAGTTCATCTAGTGCATTGCAGAGTGACTGTCTCTGCGAGCAGTATTGTGGGCATTCACACAGAATGTGCCAAGTTGTTTTATCACTGCCACAATGGTCGCATGCAGCAGTGTCAGCCATTCCTATGCAGAACGTGTACGCATTGGTAAATGCGACGCCGAACCATAATCTGCACAGCATAGTAGTGTCTCGTCAGCATAATTCCAAAGGAATTCGAAGCCTGAGAGTTGGGTCTAAAGTACCTAACCGTGCACGGATGAAATGTGACTCGTTCCATTGTGACATGGTGGGCTTGCGAGCAAGCATGTGGAGTTTCCTTTGCAGCTTCAGTTCTGGAAAGCGAAATGGATATTTCATCGCTTTCAGTATGGGCAGAACGGGCAGCTCGATCAGCCCGTTCATTGCCAATTATTCCACAACGACTTGGAAGCCATTGAAAGGCTATGTCATGTCCTTCCTCAATGAATTGGTGAGTGTTTTCTGCAATCTCAAATACCAGCTGTTTGTATGGGCCGTGGCGTAAAGGTGATAGAAGGTATTGCAGTGCCCCCTTTGAGTCACTAAAAATTGTCTATTTTTGTGGCTGTTGATCGCTGATGAATTGCAATGCGACACAAAGAGCTGTGAGCTCTGCTCCCGTTGATGTCGTAAGGTGGGAGGTCCTGAATTTTCTTGTCGTGTCTTTTATCGGTATAACGAATGATGCCGTTGAACTCTTCTGTAAAACAGAGTCGGTGTATACGTGTATACAGCCTTGATACGTCTCTTATAACAAGAGCAGAGCAAGCTGTCTAAGAGCAGGTGACGACATATCTGCTTTTTTCTGAATGCCAGGTATAGCTAGCCTGATGTTAGCCTAAGTCAGGCACCAGGGAGGAGTCGAAGGGTTGGCGGCCAGTGTGAAACATGTTGGCAAAGAATCGCGATATGTGGTGACCGTTTGGCAAAATGACGAACGTGGTCTGTCTGCTGGTAAAAAGGCTAGGTGGTGGCAGGGTGTCAGAGCAATATGCCTTATGTGTGTCCCGAGTGCCTCAATGTCGATATGTGTCGTGATGAGGTGGTAACCGGTGATAGCTATAGTAGCCATTGTTGACGCACTACGAGGCAAATCTGGAGTGCCTGGGACTGAACACTCTGTAGCGTTCGAAGGCTTGTTTTGCTTGCATTGGTCAATGCCGGTAAACTGTACCGCAGGAAACCGAAAAGAAGTACTTTGTACAGCTGTAGCATTGCACTGGTAGACATTCCCCAAGTCT